CATTTGAAGGAACTACAGAAGCTTAGTTTGATGATTAGATATGAAGACAGGAGTCATGATGGCAATCTTCAAGTATTTGAACCATGCTATAGAAGTGGGATTAGACATCTTCTGCTTGGTCCCAAAGGGTGGAATTAGGATCAGTGTGTGAAAGTTGCAAATAAACAGATTTATCCTTGAGGAAAAGAAAATCTTACTAACTGGAATGAACTGCCCTGGAAAAAAAAAAAAGCTTTCCCTTCACAGAAGTTCACATACAAAAAACAGTTGGTCTTGATGGCCTCTGAGGTTCATTCCAACTTGGGTTTCATGTTTTCCCCTACCCCTAACCCCATCAGTCATTCTTCTCTATTTCATCCCCAGACTGGATAACAAATCAAGCTACATTGTTCCTCCATTTAATCCCATATACTCTACTATTTAGAAGATGCTAAGAATTTAGATACAGAAAACACTTTACATAATATCCAGTCCAATCTTCTTATTTTATAGATGAGAAAACTAAGGTCCCAAGAACGCAAAATTACTTGTTTATGTTTGTACAACATGCCTAGACTTTGTTTTCAGGCAATTTTAACAAAGGTCATGATCACTCCTTTCCAAAGTTTGGATCTGCTTTGATGGGAGGCTAATGTGTTGGTTAAGGTTTTTAAGACTACACATACTAGACAGAGTAATTAATTAATTAATACTATTGAGTACAAGGTACTATGGCAGGTAGTGAGGGAGATACTCAGAAATGTGAAATAGATTTCCTGTACTCAAAGGGATTATAAGCTAGGGGGAGAAGTAAGACATACATTAAAAAAAAAGTTTTATGCATTGTTTCCTTATTTGTACAATGAGCTAGTTAGACTAGATGGTAACTAAATTCTTTTCCTGGTCTAAATTCTATGATCCTAATCTACAATATGGTAAAGTTAAAAAAAAAGTTACTCCTGAACCACTTCTCATGCCCTAAAATACACATGAGAATTGTCATAAAATTCAAAAATTAAAGTATTTTATATTTTTGTAAAGTACCTTTTATGTTACAATCTGTCCAATATCTTAGTCTGATATTATATATGATTGTTCTGCTAGTGCACAGAATAGGTGACAAAATATTTGTTAAATGAATGGATTTGTTAAATGGATAAAATGATAAAAAGAGAAGTCAAGTAAATGTATCTTCTCAGAAAAATAGTGAAGAAGGAAATATCTATGAAGATTTCAAATAGACCTTTAATTTTTGCTGACACTCTTTTGAAAAGAGCTACAATCTTAACTTTCAGTTAAATCCAGCTGCAGTGAACCCTTCCGTTTCTTTAGCTTGTCTTTAGGTTTCTGTCACCAGTTCACATAAAGAAAGAAGCAAAAACATTTATTGCAATTGTTTGCTTTATGAGGATCTGATTTTCATCTCATATAAGTTAAGCTCTAGAGGCACATTTGGTGTCTAAAATATTCCTGTGCTTGAGATATCAGAGTCGTTGTTGTTTTATCATAATTTATTTAACCCATCAATTTTCATGGTGGAGATGGGACTTGAATTGGCCATTGAGGGATGATTAGAATTTAGAAAGATGGAAAGGATGGGGAGGACATTCTAGGCAATGCTGGCCTGAATAAAGGAACAAAGGTGAGAATACACATAATATTTTCTGGTGGCAGGAAGTTAAAGAAAAATATTTGCATGGAACAAATGCTTTATTTGGAGTAATGTAGGCAAGAATCATTGGTAAATATGTGGAGACTAGATTGTGAAGGACCTCAAATGCCAGGCTAAGGGATTTAGTCTATTTCTGGGCATTAATGAATCATATACTCTTGTGGTAAAGATACAGAGTGAATAAAGTATGAACAAGATATGTGGAAGGACAAAATACTAAGCCAAATTTATTCTGGTGTGGTTTTTTAAAGCGCTTAAGTAGTCCTGGCTTCAGAGCCTAACTCTGACATTTATTAGCTGTTATCATGAGCTTATTGACTGTAAAATCACTTAATCTCTGTGTCTGAGATTCTGCATCTTTAAAATGGGGATAATTATACCTTATTAACTGACTATTATCGGTGCACAGGCAATTACATAACCTCTCAGTGCCCCAAGCAACTCTCTAAAACTACAAGGTTTAGAACCCTTGTCAATCTGCACCAGCAGAGGGAGTTTACTTTCAGGGAATTTCCTATGGCAATGAAATCACAGGTCCAAATCCCTACCTTGTCCTCCCACTGCCCCCTCCCTCCCACCAAAAACATAACAAAAACAAAAACCAACTTTGGAACCTATTTCAAATTACATAATAAATGTAAGGCACTGCATAAATATCAGCTGTTATTATTACTACAGGATTCAATCTGTGTATATGTGATCAAAAGAATTGCCAAATCAATATAATCTCAAATTTAGTTTGACTAACTAATTGGACTGATCTGTACCCCATTAAAATGCATAAAGGCACAAGTAAATTGGTCCTGGAAGTCAGTCAAAAAGAGGCTGTGTCACCTAATGAATAGAAAGCTGGCCTCAGAGTCAAAAAATGGGTCCAAGTCCTGGCTCTGACATATTCAGGCTATGTGACTTACCCTCTCAGTGCTCCCAGGCAAACCCTAAGACCACACAATAGCTTCTTTGGGAAGCTATTGCTTCCTATCTTCATTGATAAACAGACTTTACTTACTGGAAGTTCCCTTTATTATTGGTGGGGAAAGTCAGTCAAAGAAATTTGTGCCAAATAAATGTTTTCTCTGAGAACTTGGACTAATACCTAATTGATCAATTTAATTCATTGACTAAGATCATCTTTATACCTCTTGACAATTGAGATGATCCAGTGTTTCAAACTGTTCTCCTAAGTTTATTATGACTGTCACTGAATTTTGAAAGTCTTATGAATGGCAAAACCCTTCCATTTTCTAGCAAAGGCTGTCTCTTAGTCAACATTTTTCCAGTATAATCTTTTTTTTTTTCTCTCTGAAGGCACAGGTTCTTATCTCAGCTAATAAATTATCTTTCACCTTATAAACAGGACCTCCAATTAGTGACTTTGCTAATAGTATCTGCTCCCTGTTTCTAGTCATTAACCCAAGCTTGATAGGTGGCATAGACACAGGCTAAATTTGATATCCTCCCTAGCAATCAGATTTAATGAGTCTCCTCAAACTCCTGACTTTTGGGAGTGAAAATGGGATGAGGTTATGGGGGAGGAACAGAATCTACTACCTCCTTTCCATCCCTCTAATTTTTTTTTTTACTTTGCTGTAAATTTGGTTCTGAGGGAAGGAAGAAGATGAAAGAGCACATGAGGATAGAAAATACAATGTCCTTTTTACAAAGTTTCCAGCAAAGGTAGGTCTTAGGGCTTTTGAACAAGGTTCTGCCTTGGAAAATGACTTCACATTTCATATGTGAATGAGTTTCTTATTAATATTTCTTTTACTTCAATGAAGTTTAAATTTGTTTTCTGAATGAAAAAATACATAAACTGTGAGGAATATTTTGCGGCTCTTCATATTGATACCTAAATTAGCATGAGCTCTACTATCTGCAGTTTAAAAATCCTTGCTTCCAAAAATCTCCATCTCCTTGCCAAAGCCACATATATTTACATTTAGATACAAGATATTCATAAAAGGAAGGCACTGGGGACTCTGAAAGCAATCGATTCTTCATTGAACTGCACATAGCTCTGCAACACAAATGAGCTCCAAAAAATTGACTTCTAAGGCCTCTTTCTCACTTTTACACTAGCTAAAACACTGCACTCTCACTGTATTGACTCAAAAGTAGTAGGTATAAAGAAAAATCTTGAGAATCAGACCTGCAATTTTGAGTGTAAACAATGGAAACATCACATCTTCAAAACCTGTGATTCGTAAAGTTTATTTCCAAAATCACCGAACTGGAATCGTATCTCACTTAAGAGTGAAACAGCTCTTACCAGTTTCTTATTACTTCATAAGGTCTATGAATGGGTTAATAATACAAATAAAAAAGGCAACAGAAAGTGGCAGTAGAATAATTAATTACTCTAATCTCCGTATAAGGAATCCAACAAAGAATATGAAATGCAATATTTGAATAATTAATCAATATATCAATTGATAAACATTTATTAGGACCTTCCATGAAATAGTAAAACCCAAAACAGATTATAAAGATTACTATCCATGTTTTTTTACTTATGAATGCATGAAAGATCTGTAAATTTTCCAGTGTGGGGGTACTCCTACTGTTCAGAACTCCTTGCATTAATGCAAATCATGGCTAATCTATGACTTGGTAAATGAGTATTATGAATTTGCTTGAGGGACATGTCATTATTAAGTAGAAAAATGTGCTTATTAAAATTAAAATATAAGCACTAATTAAACATTGATTACAAGCATTCACATACCAACATTGAGAGAAAATGCTATTTGAAGTAAGTTTCAAAGAAATATTAACACCTAGGTCCCAGTTGGCACTGGGGTCAAATTTCATCTATTATTAGCTGTTTAACTTTTATCATCTGTTTAACTAGATCTTTGCTTTCTTTCTTACTCTACAGAAGACCCCAAGGTCCAGGTGAATCTGGGTAAGGCTTACAAATTTGCATTTTGAAACTTACAATTCAATGTTCTTCTTCTGTTAATTCAAATTTATTACCTTCCTATCTCCCAATGATATCAGATGCTGTTATGCTTGTAGTAAGTATTAAATGAATGTTTCATTGAATTGATAAGTTCGTGTCATTTTTGATTCTAAGAAAGAATAGTCTAATGAGTGCATAGAAAGGATAAGGTTTTAAATAACTTTTTTCCCTAAGTGTTGAAATTATACTGCATCTCTTCATGTATTAAGTCATTTTTATTATATTTCATAATCTTAGAGTTGGAAAGACCTCAACCTCTACCTAGAGCATGAGCCACATTTATAGAATCTTTGACATGTAAAAAAATATCTTTTACAAAAATAAAGCTGCTCGTTTTGCCTTTCTCAGTAAAAGAGAAATGTAACAAGTATAAAACTAATGACTTACCTGGCCAGGCTTAGAATTTTCACACACAACAATATCATACTCCTTGGCAAGCTCTGGTGGGTTGTCATTGACATCCAGAACTTGAATGCCAACTGCTACATGGCTCAGCAGGCTAGGATTGTCTGAAAGACACACAAAGAGGGATTTAGTGGTTTTATTATACACATCTTATTGTCTTTATTGAAACAGATATTAACACTGGAGCTTGTCACCTGCTCCAGGTGCTAAAGCACAATACTGGTAAAAGACAACTTTAAGGAGCCACTCTTTGCTAAGACTCATTAACACAAGGAAAAAAAGAAAAATGAATGCTAAGGCATAAAAGGAATGCTAAAATGATGTTTTGTCATATCAAGAAATTACATGTTATTAAGGAACTGAACTGAGAGAAAATTGTCAGAATTCATTGTCTGCTGTCATAGTCTAAGAAAAAGATGAAAGATTGATTTGATTACTAATCTAAGAAAAGCAGTGTGATGTTTAAATAATTAAAAAAAACACAAACAAATCATTGTCCTTAGTTTTAAAAAGTATTTCATGATTTTAAAAGGCAACGCTAAATATATACTAAGAAAACAAAGGGAATAGGCCTCAATTTTTTTTAAAGTGACTTATAATAATAGCTCCTTTTATATCTCTAGTTCATAAAGTGCTTCCCTTAGAACACTCTTATGAGATAATTAGGTCAAGTATGATTATTCTTCCCCATTCCTAACCTTTTTTTCCCATCTTCCCCACCCTGTCTCGTCTCAGCAAAGTAGAATGGAATAACAGATAGATAGCAGACATAAGAGTCAAGAAGACCTGTGTTCAAGTAATGCCTTTGACACATCTTGACCATGTGGTCCTGGGCCTTTTCATGATCTCTAAGCATGGCATTTATAGAAAGAAAGCATGAAATGTCAAATGATTCTGGATTTTAGATAAGGAAAACACGGGTTCAAATTTTGGCTTACTTTCTAGACTTACGGAAACTTACACACAAGGTTGGGTGACCTTGGGCAAGTTACCTAAAACTTTCTGTGACTCAATTTCCTCATCCTTAAAATGAAGATTTAGGTAGATGTCCTCTGAGATCCCTTCCAGCTCTACATCTATGATTCCAAGGCATTTTATCTCTGAGATTCTAACCTAACACTCTAAGTTATATAAAATTTGTTGATTACTATAGTTTCCTCAGTCAAAGGAATGCTTTATATTAATAAAATTATAAGCGAGAGAGACAGAGTGACAAGCAGTGATATAGAGATACCTGTAGATGGAGAATAAGAATGTCCCCATGCAAACTAAGGCTCTTAGATGCTAAGGGACAACCTCAGTCACACATCTACTAAATCTTATAGCCAAGGCATCAAACCCAAGTTTTCTGACACCAGCACTAGTGTTGTTTCCACTACATCCACACTGCCTCTCAAGTCATACCCTAGCACCACTTAAAAAAAAATATCAGGTGTGGAAAGCAGGATGGGTTAAGACTCGACCTTAAAAAACAAACAAGCAAAAAAAAATATGTTTTCTCCTGCACCTTTACCTAAGTACAATATGCTAACTTAGTTGGCTCTTAAAAACACTTGAAGAGTAATGGATCATCTGCCAAGACACAATATGCTGTGAAATTGACATACATTGGGCTCTTTCTCTCTCTCTTTTTTTTTTTCCCATTTCTAGAGAGACTAGGGAGCTCATTACTGGGAAGTGGCAATTGGCTAATGGGGTCATAAATGTGCAAATCACTTGTGCTAGACTTTTTTTTTACTGCTCATATTATAAGAATAGCTAGAATTTCTGTAGTACTTTAAGGATTGCAGAGCACTTTACACATGTTATCCTCACAACAACTGTGTGACATAGATGCTACTACTATTTTCATTCTACATATCAGGAAACTGAGGTCGAGAAAGGTTAAGTGAAAAAAAGAAAGGTTAAGTGACTTTTCTAAGGTTGCACAACTAGTAAATGTCTGAGGCAGGATTTGAATTTACCTCTTCTGAAGTCCAGGTCCACTACTCTATCTCCTGTATCACTTAACTGTCCTTCTCATCAGATGCCATCATTTTAAAGATGGATAAAAAAGTGAAGCCTGGGAAAGTTAATCAACCTACCCAGAATTACCTAAAAGTTTAGCTGCAGATCCAAGACTAAAGCCCAGGGCTCCTGACTCAGTCCTATGTTCTTTCCAGAGTATCATATTGCCGCATCATAAACCTTTCCAGAAAGTGATCACTATAGCATAAATCTACACTTTGTAAGAAAGAACAAAGATTTTCAGGACATTTGATTGACACTGGAAGGATGGAGTGTCACTCTACTCTAACCTAAATTGGTGCAGATTCCTTATTGCCAAAAGCACATAGTATTGGGGCAGCTAGGTGGAGCAGTGGCTAGTGCACGGGTCTGTAGTCACAAAGATTTGAGTTCAAATCCAGCCTCAGAAACTTACTAGCTGTGTGACCCTGGGCAAAGTTACTTAAACCCACGGCCTACAACAACAAAGTGCTTAGTGTCCACCTGGGGAAAGGTAGGGGAGGAGAGGAATAGGATTCTCAGACTTAAATCTAGAGCTCTTTCTGCTTTTGTGTATAATCTTTCCTTAAAACTTTTACTACTTAAGTGATAGAGCTGTTGTTAGAATATAATAATTTATGAAAATTAACTATTATAAAATAATTTTATAGCCACCAAATGCAATATTAATATATTATTGTGGTTATTGTTATTATTATTAATATATATACACTGTTAATTGGTAGATAAAAGTCCTACCCTTTCCTATGTGACTATTAGTTACCAGGAGGGGGCAATTTTCTGTTTTCGCCTGGCAGGGAAAGAATGAGCTGGGCAAAGCATTAATAAAAACCTTTCCTTTAATTTATTCCTGCATAAATTGTGTCTTTCCAATATTTCTAGTGCTTTCTCCCTGTAAGAGTGATTAATGAAAAATACGCAAAAGACGGCAGTAATATAAACTATCCTCATTACTATCCACAGTACAACTTTCTTAGTAAACAAAAATTGTTTTCATTTGTTCTATAGATGTCTAATTTCCAGAGCACTGATGTTCTAAACTTTACTTCACATAATCTTTCAAAAGAAAATGATAAATCAGAGTAAATTTTATCATTTGTATATCCAGGTTCCTTTTCCTCTTTGATGGGACTTCTATTTCTTGAATTTTCAAAAATTCACAAAAAAAAACTTAAAAAAAATCTTGGGTATGTCTGAAATACTGGATTATGTTGAATATTAATTTAATAAATCAATAACTTTGCATCGCTCGTGTATGCTCTAAAAATCACCACTGTTTCCCTGGAGGGTGTGTTGTTTTGTTTTGTTTTGTTTTTTGTCATAGAACTTCTTTTGGTTCACTAGATTCTTTGATCATTCCAGACTCTATGAATGAATTTCATTACATGGTATTTGAGTTTGCAATACTTAAAGGAAATTGGACTCTCTGGAACAGTTCCTTTTGGACTAAATTAAACCATATTTCAAAAAATTAACAGTATTAGTTATTGAATATGCCTAAAATTTTTACCTAAGTCAAATAGCAGAAATAAAATTTTGGAGCATACACAAAATGAAACCTGAAACTTAATTACACAGATAATTGTTGTTGTTGTTGTGGTGGTGGTGGTGTTTGTCCTTCATTCTCGAAGAGGACCATGATATCAGGGAGATGGATGATATGACTTACAACTGAATTTGACTTGAGTGTGGGAAGGTGGTACAAGGTCACCAGACTCATTTTCTCCTCCAGAGCCATCTGGGTCCAGTGGCTAGATATTCATCAGGTCGACTGGAGATGGCCCAGTGCACAAATAATGTTAGCTTTAAAAGAGAGTCTTGTAAATAATTTATTTCTCTCCAAAATCTTGAACCTGAAAAGTAGACTTAATTTGCAATAAGAAAAAGTAAAATCAAAATCATTATACTAATCAGTGGTAACATTCATGTAGCACCTTAAGTTTACAAATAGCTTTCCTTGCCATCACCAGGTTAAGTAGTTAGGGGTAGTATTGTTCTAATTGCTATTTTTCACCTACAAACCCCTTAACTCTTAGGTATACCTTTAAGATAAGACTTTTAGTTTTCAATGGTATCTTTAAAGATCATATAACTTAAAGCTTTCATTTTATAAAGAAACAGGTCAAATGAGTGGAAGCAAACTGCCCATAGGGGCAGAGCTAGGATAGGAACCCAGGTCTTTTTTCTTAAATCAATATACCTTTCCATCACTCAATATTACTTCTTTAATACCTCTTTAGGGCAAGTAGATGATGCAGTGGATAGAGTGCCAGGCGTGGAATTAGGAAGACTCATTTTCCTGAGTTCAAATTTGGCCTCAGACACTTCCTAGCTGTGTGATCCTGAGCAAGTCACTTAACTCTTTTTGCCTTGTTTCCTTATCTACAAAAATGAGCTGGAGAGGAAGAAAATGGCAAACCACTTCAATATCTTTGCCAGTAAATCTCCAAATGGGATCACAAAGAGTTGGGTACAACTTAAATGACTGAACAATAATAAATACCATTTTATTTTTCCCATGTGTATTACCTCAAAATTATTAAATTTTGTTTATATTGATTATACATTTCTAATTAAAGATTATTCATAAGACAAGATACAAATGGGAGATGGCATCAAAACTTAATCTTACAAGTTTAATTCCCTGAATTCTCTTTGAGAGGCTAAATAAATGGTTTAAAAATGGTTTTAGATTTTTAGCATGAAAATCGCTAACCAGTTAAGAAGCTAATTCATTTTGTGCTTAAAATTCCTATTTCTAAGATATAGTTAAAACAGCATAATCACCTATTGGAAGCTTCTATATAATGTTTGAAAAGTTGCAAAAATATAACTCTCTCATCTGCAGACAATCTATACATTTGTGACTTATTTTTTTCCCATCTTTGCCTCATAATAGCAACAAGACCTTGGCTTCCAACATTCCACTTAGAATAATGACTGGCCAGAATTAATGACTTTTGATTGATTTCAGGCCATTATTTCCTCACAGTCAGTCATTACTCCTCCAGAAATGCCTAGATACTCTCAATAATTATTTGCTAAGTGTAACATAGGTTGGAAGCTTCAAAAGGTTAAGCTGTGCCTTTGATCTTAG